AACTGACTTAGTTCACAAATTCTGATACCTTCAGCCCTTTCTACTTCAATCTCTTGCTACCCTCTACCCCCGTACTATCCCCTGCCCCGCTGTTTTCTGTAACCTACTGATCATCCCTCCTCCCTTCTGCCATCCAATACCCTCGCTTCCTTCCCTACCCTACAGCGCTGTATAGCCCTTGTGGCTTAGCGCTTCTTTTTGATTATAATAATAATAATAATGAACAGTTGGTCTGTGATTTGTATGGTAGTTTTGTGGGGACAGCAATTAAAAGTGGTTTCAGGCTTATCCCCGGGTATACCTGGGTATCCCTTCCGTATATCCCAGTACTGATTGTCTTTCATTTACTGCTCTTATTTATGCCACATTTCTAGTAATCACGGGAAAAGATTTTTTTGCATTTTCCCCGGGGCATATTAGTTTTTCAGAAACAAATAAAAAGTTGCTGTTTAAAAAACCTTTAACTTAATACGAGGTATTTTTTTGGATATTTTTTCAGTTCTTTTTTTGCTGTTGAAAAAATGGGTCAAAGTTAGTCTTATAAATTACAAATTAATTATGTTTTGGTTTCTGGCCATCTTTTTACCACACATCATGTTTAGAACCTCTATTTCCCACTTGTTTGTTACCCACAGTTTTACTCACGCACCTCGAGGAAAAAGCCCCACTTTTTGGCAGTAAAATTGTCAGGTTGACAGTGCACCATATCCTAATAGATTGCCCTTCAGTTACAACAAATTCATTCCGTGTTTTCATGCCCAATAAACATACTCTAAAAGACCTCTTGTTAAAGTTCTCCTTGTTGAAAGTTTCATTCCAATTTTGCTTTATCCTTGACTTGCTTAACAGAAACTAATTATTACAACACCTGCAATTTTTTTTTACCATCTGCATTTTTATTAACCCCTTGCCCTCTCCATCCCCTTTAACCCCTATCCCTAACTCCTTCCTTTCCTCTCTGTTTTTAAACCCTTTTGCACATTTCTCTCTTTTGTACATCCTTACCCACAGTATTGCATATATTTGAGTTTAGTACCTCTTTTGATTATTTAATTTCTGTTTCACTTCAAATAAAACCCTACAATGAGCTGGTTTTCCCTTCTGTAAAATTACAAATTTAAACCCTTGACTGTCGAAACTCAAATCCTGAGGTGTCTCCTGTGTTGAAATTTTTTTTAAAAAAAACTAATTATTTTTTTTAGGAAATGATGACACTTTTTTTACCGATGGTAGACACCAAAAGAACAAAATTTTAGGGAAAACTTACAAATAATGCTCTCCCAATTTTAGCAATCTTAGCCAGTTTCAAAATAGGGTCCAGAATGAACAATGCTTTTTCTTTGTTAAAAACAGTCACATTCCAACACCTCTGATTTTGCTCTTGCTTTCTTTTTTAATTTTTTATTAAATAAAAAAATTGGAAGATTTCTGTTATGCAGACTATGCAATTTTGTAATAATTGTATAAATAATTCAACCAATTTTGACTGCATATTAGAATGGCTAGTTGGACATTATTGGAGAATCCGTCTTTTGTTTACTTTTGAACATTGGCAAAAATAAAACATTTCCCCATTTGAGCTCCTTTCAAGGTTTTTTTTCATAGTAAAAAACCAATCAAAATCCCCTTTATTTTTATAAGTTTTTTATTCTATCAAAGGACCAAAAAAAAACAAAAAATACAACCATAAATACTAAAAAAAATTCCCTCAAATTTTGGCTTTTTAAAATCCAAAAACGGCCGTAGTTTTTTTTTTTCTCATTAGCACTGCGTGCTGCGGGATTTTTTTTATATGGTGCACACTGACCCCAAGACCATTCTCTCACTTTGGGGGCCCCCAGCTTTCTTAGCTTGATTTAAAAGCGCTAGACCCCCGAAACTCTCTCCAGGAAAATCCAGGAAATACGTCAAACATGGGGGCTCGAAGACAATATATATGACCGAAACAGTAAAGGGTTAAAAAGAAAAACTTTTGTTTTTTTTTTTTAGGTCACCGTTTTGGGTAGAATACAGCTGGTTTATTAAAAAACTAATAACATGTTGAATTAATTTACTCATCTTTACTTTGGTTGAAAACCAGCTAAAAAAATTTACATCATTTATAAGATCATTTTTGAAAAATTTTACAGTTGTTAATTAATTTTGTTATCTTTTTTTTTGCAGTTCATCAAAAACACAAGTTTATCTTAGTGTACATCCAGTACAATGAAAGTGTTAAAGTGGCGAATACTGGAGAAACTGTGTCAACAATGTGGTAATGGGATACTTTTTTTGGAATTTTTCCCCTGAATGTCCAGACTTTAGATACCACATTATTCTGACAATTACAACTAACCTTCAACCCCAGTGAACTAAGTCAATTTACTTAATACTTAGATGTTAATATAAACACTTTACATGTATTATAACATGTTTTACCTAAAATTTTTACCTTTTAACAGCTTTAATGCACATAAATATTTTTTTTGTTTTTTTATAAAACCAAAGTATTGAGTTTTTTTAAATCTTAAATTATTTTGTAATATATTTTTTATAGTCTAAAAAATCAGTAATTTATCAACCATTAAAGGGAAAACAAAGGCAAACTAAATATGTTTTGAAAAACAGTTTTTGTAAAAAAGTACACAAAACTATAAGGTTTAGGAAATTTTTATTGATCGGAAAAAATTGAATAATAAATTTTTAATTTTTTCCCCATTAATGACTTGGGTAAGATTTAATCATCTATATTGTCCTTCTACTTCAAGTATTTTTTTCCATTAATGACTGGGGGTAAGAATTATTCACTTTTTGCCCCTCTCTACTTAAGTATTTTATCTTCATTAATGATGTGGGTAAGATATTAATCATCTATTTTGTCCTCTCTATTCAAATTTTACAACCATTAATGACGTGGGAAAGATTTTTATATCTCTATTTTGTCCTCCAAAATTTAAATATTTTTTTTCCCAAAAAGACTGGGGAATTTTTTTAAAATTTCATCTATATTGTCCTCTCTACTTCAAATTTTTTTTTCTTCAATTTTCCTTCCATTTCCTATTATTGGTAGATGTCTTTAAAAAATTCTGACAACATAAAAAAATTTTTTTTATTATTTTTCCACAAATTTCAGTAGGTTTTTATTTTTAAATTTTAATTTTTCCCTTCCTCAGAATGTTTATATTTAAAAAGTAAATGCTACATCCCTCTATTGAAACACCTTCGTGTCAATACATTTTTCAAATTTTTACAATTTTTTGTCTCGAAAGGATAAAAAATTTTATATAAGGGTAATAATGATGCCAGAAAAATAAAGTTATACAGGCTAAAGTTGGGCAAAATAACGGGAATTTCATAATTTGTTGCTTTTTTTTGACCAGTTTCAGTGCCAGATATTTTGATAGTATACTTCCTCACATAAATTTATTGCAAAAATTTTTCATTTGACTGTTAAAATTAGCCTCTTGGGACCTTTTTTGGGAAAATTTTTGAATTTTAAAAAATTTAAAAAAATTTTTTGGTTTTAAAAGCACGCGGGGGGTTCTTGCCTCTAAAGTCCTTTCCATTTTATCAAAATAAAAAACCTTCAGGCTTCTCTTAAAAACACTTACTTATTAAAATCCTTCATTCACACAAAAATTCAGTGCTTTATTTTTCTTTTTTTAAAATTTGCCTAAAAATAAAAATTTTCTGAATTTTTAAGGTCTATTTCTCCCATTTTTTTCCCCCGATTAAGTAATTTTGTATTTTCTATTGGTGCTATAGCAAAAAAAACCAAAAAAAGGGCCAAAAAATTTTTTTTTTAAATTGAAACACAGAAAAAAGTTTACTGAAAACCCAAAATGCCCTGTGGTGGCAGGATTATTTTTATTCTGTGCCATCCCACACAAACAATTTTCTTAGTCTAGAAAAAAACTTGTTGCCGGCATTTTTTGAGGCTCTGTGAAAAAAAAAAGGTAGTAGTGAACATGAAGATGATAATATCAGATATTAAAGGTGTGTGCCTGTTAATGTATACTTTTTTTGATATGTGCGTTTTTTTTATATATTTATCAATGATTTTTCCCCGTGGTTTTGCATACTTCATGAAAATTTGTATGCTGTTTTAATGTATTTCTAGGTGTGTGTGATGCTGAGAACTACTCAGTTTGATGTATTTACTCATAAAAATTTTAAAAAGAGTAACAGTATTATGAGAAAGAATATTTTGTTTTACTTTATTTTTTACATTTTATATAAATTTAAAAAAACACTTATAAATATTAAATAAAATTTTTAGACTTGTACCAAATACATTGTTTTTTTTTTTCCATTTATTTGAGTTTATTTTAAAGTTTTTGGAAAAATTAAATGTAAAAAAAAAAAATTGTCAGGTTATTTTTTAAAATAAATTTTGGGAAAATAATGTTTAATTTAAGTCAGTGGACCCACGCATAACATCACCCCCCAAATGCGACCAATTATGAAAGTGTTTTTATGTAAGTCGTTTGTACTGTTTTTTTTTGGGGGTTCTGAAAAGGACTAATCCTTCACAATATTCCCCATGGGAACAAATTCGGTCATACTGGGCCCCGAACATACTTTGAGTGAAAAAATATCATTAACCAGGGGGCCACGTATAATTAAAAAATGTTCTTTTAAAAAAATTTTACCATTTGGTAAATTTGAACAATAATCAAGAGACATTAATATGTATAAAAAAACAATAGTTAAAAGACCTTTTCACGTATTATTTTAGGAGAACTTTTAAAAAACATGAAAAATGCAAGAGTTTGATAAACAAATTATATAATAGCTGTATTCATTATTAAAGTGACTTAACAGGTAAGTAACAAAATGCAGTGTATTAAAGTTCCTTCAAGAAATAACACTTATCAGTGTTTAGAGTTTTGAAAACTTTTTTATATAAATCACATCTAAAAAGACACATGAGAGTTCATTCAAAAAAAAACTTATCAGTGTTCAGTGTTGAAAAAATTTTTATGAAACTATCTAAAACAACACATAGTGTTCACCACAAGAAAAACCTTATCAGTGTTCAGAGTGTTTGAAAGACTTTTCATGTAAATCATATCTAATACAACACATGAGTGTTCACTCACAAGAAAAACCATATCAGTGTTCAGAGTGTTTGAAAGACTTTTCACGTAAATCACATCTAATACAACACATGAGAGTTCACTCACAAGAAAAACCTTATCAGTGTTCAAGTGTTTGAAAGACTTTTTAAAATCAATTAAACAACACATGAGAGTTCACTCCAAGAAAAACCATATCAGTTTCAAGTGTTTTTAAAGCTTTTCATGTAAAAACATCAATAAACACTGAGAGTTCATTCACAAAAAAAAACCATATCAGTGTTCAGATTTTTGAAAGACTTTTTACAAAAAACAAAATTTTAAAAAAACATAGAGTGTTCATTCCAAGAAAAACCATATTGTTCAAGTGTTTTGAAAGACTTTTCAAGTAAATCACATCTAATAAGACACACAGAGTTCATTTTGCAAGAAAAACCCCTTCAGGTTCAGAATGTTTTTAAAAACTTTTCATGTAAGTCAATCTAAAAAGACACATGAGAGTTCATTCACAGAAAACCCTACAGGTTCAGAATGTTTAAAAACTTTTCAGAAATCCATCTAATACAACACTAGATTCTTCACAAAAAAAACCATATCATGTTCAATGTTGAAAAAACTTTTCACAAAAAACACATTTAATAAAAATTGAGTGTTCATTCACAAGAAAAACCCCTATCAGTGTTCAGAGTGTTTTAAAGACTTTTCATGTAAATCACATCTAAAAGCAACACATGAGATTCTTCAAAAAAAAACCTATCAGTGTTCAGAAATTTTAAAAACTTTTTATGTAAATACATCTAATGCAACACATGAAGTTCATTCACAAGAAAAACCATATCAGTGTTCGAAAAGTTTGAAAAAATTTTTATGTAAATCACATCTAATGCAACACATGAGAGTTCATTCACAAGAAAAAAAATATCATGTTCAGAATGTTTTAAAAAATTTTCATGTAAATCATATCTAACAACAATGAGAGTTATTCAAAGAAAAACCATATATGTTCAAAGTTTGAAAACTTTTTATGTAAAATCATATTAATCAAAAACATGAGAGTTTATTCACAAGAAAAACCATATCAGTGTTTAGAGTGTTTTTGAAAGACTTTTCACAAAAAACCCAAATTTTGTAAAACACATGAAGTTATTCACAAGAAAAACCTACAGTGTTCAGAAGTTTAAAACTTTTCACAAAAATCAATTTAAAAAAAACAGATGTTCTTCACAAAAAAAACCCATATCATGTTTTAGAGTGTTTGAAAGACTTTTTCCTAAATCAATTAAAAAGACACACGAGGTCCTTCACAAAATAAATCAATTTAATGTTCACTGTGTTTCTAAAATTTTTTACAAAATTCACATGTATTTTAATGTTGATATTTATTCACAAGAAAAAAACCCTATCACTGTTTTAAAAAACTTCACAAAAAAAAAATTTAGTCTACACATGAAGTTCATTCGTATAGAAGCCTACCAGCCCTGCCTGGGATGCTATTTGTGGCTTATATTGCAACTTAAGCTAGATCCCCTTCATCACCAATGTTTTTGTTTTTGCCTTGGTCCTTTTATCCTCTGTTTAAAACCCTACGAGGCGAAAGTTCCTTCCTTAGCTATTTTTGGGTGCTTATTGCTGATTATTTTTTTTAGTGCATATGAACTTTGGTTTCCTTTACGTAAGGGTTTGGGCTCCAGGGGGAGTAGTGGTCCATTATTTTATCATGCCTCTCTTATTCTGTCCGTTTTTCTTAATCTTCACTTGCCGGTCTTCTCTCCAGTTCCCTCCCTTTTATATTCATGTAGCATCTGCCTTTCCCTTCCCTCTTGGGGAAATTTCAAAAGTTTTGGGGTTTTCTCCTCTACTGCGTGTGCTAAAGGTCTCATACCTAAAAACTTTTCTTGCTCTCTTTTTCTTGATCACTTTTAGCTCATGCTTGTGCCGTTGGCATTTTACATTTGGGTTTTTAAAAATTTTTGATGGCATTTGGGGGCATGGGAATGTCCCTGAGATGATTTGGGGGCATAGTTTGACTTTTTGGGAGTATTTTTTCGGCGATTATAAGTCTTGTTATGACCAAGTCATAATGAATTAATTTATGTTTTGTCACTTAAATTTATTTGGGGTTTCTTTTAAAATTTTTTAAAAATTCCATAGTTTTTAATATTATCGGTTTTGGAAAATTTCCCGGGTTGATGTGTAATATATTTTTGTATTTTGAGTAATGTGTTAGATAGGAGGTAATAGTGGCTAAGAGTTGAAACAATATGTCCCTTGGAGGGGAGTTTTAAACTGCTTCCCTTTTGGGATTGATGTATTTTAAAGGATTAACTGTGTTTGTTTATTTGCTCTTTTGCGACTCAGTGTGCATTGACTCCCGCTTCCCCCCTAGTATTCACTTTATTTCTTTGGGGTAAAGTTTTGTTGTAGAAACTCTTGAACCAGCTTTTAGGTTTTTTCTGAAGGAAGTTTGGACAGCTATACATTTCCCTCGTCCCTTCAAGGGGGGCTCCTTGGGTGGGGGAAAGAGGCTCTTTGGGCTGAGGATTAGACCTTTGGGCCCCTTCCCGACCCAACCTAATTACCCAACAACCCCCCTTCCCATCCAATTCCCCTTTTTCCTTTTCCCCCCCTCCCCCCACCCCTCCATTTTGCCCCCCTCTTTTTGGCCTTTGGGATTTTTCCCCCAGGACACTAGTTCATAGGTAGGGGGAAGGGGACTGGGGGGCCATCCCATTCCATTGAGGGTTTTGGCGTGGGGATATTTTCCATGGAAAACTGGATTCCTGAGGATGTCCCATCCCTCCCGTATCCCGGGGTGTTTGGGGGGCTTTTTGGGCGAGGGTGTATCCTGGAAGCCCCCTTTTGGATTCCCGGGGGGGGGCTGAAGGGGGTTGCTTTGTGGCGAAAATCCCGGGCCCCCCTCTCTTTTGTCCACCCAGGGAGCTAGCAGTGTAGGTTGCTATCCGATTGCTGGTTTCTGGCTGAAAGGGGGGGTATGGAGGGTTTTCCCTGCTGCACCCGCATATTGTGGTTTGATCCTCTTGGGCACAGAGGGAGTTTCTGGTCTTTTCATTCCCCTAGAAATATCCCTCCCGAACCCCTTTTTTTATTCTTTTTTTATTTTTTTTTTCTTTTTTCTTTTTCTTTTTTTTTTAAAAACAAAAAGAAAGAAGTAACCTAACCATGGAGCCCCAAATCCATGACCCTGCTACTCCCGGGCCCCTTATTTTTACCGCACCCGTTCTGACCTCCGCCTCGTATTTTGGACACCCCAAAAAGGGCCCCCTGTACCTCTTGCTGGTGCTTTTTCCTCACCCACTTCAGGTACCGGGGGCCTTTCCACTGGCCTCCTTCGATTTGTCTGACCTCCCGCTCTCCTTTGACTACGCTTCCACCCCTCTCCCTCTATGGTGCGACGACGATTTTTCGAATCTCCACCCGTCTCACTTTGGGAAACCGACTCTGGTCCCACTTTTTAAACCCGCCAATGACAATCTCCTGACGATGTTACTTCGTTACCTTCCCATTCTACTTGGAAAAGACCGACACGTCATGCACTCCCTCTCCACACTCATTTCGGACCACACAATGGACTAAATTCTTTACTTTATGACTGACTTCGTCTACTTGCCTATCTTTCTGACCATAGTACAGGGGAAACCCCCGCATAGCGACCTTAATCCGTGCAAGAGGGCTGGTTTTATGCGAAATGTTCGGTATGCGAATGAATTTTTTTCCCCCTAAGAAATAATGGAAATCAAATTAATATCCGTGCAAGACATCCAAAATTGAAAAAAAAAAATTTTACCACATGAAATATACATTTTCCTACACACAAAGAGAAGGATACATGCACAATAGTAGAGTAGTACATGCACAATATATATTGTGCATGTACTACTCAACTAAATGAAGAATAAATGACACTTACCTTATTGAAGATGCAGCAATGACTGATGAACACTGTGTCCTGGAGTGCCTTTTCCTCCTGAGTACTGGTAGGTCCTGTTTGGCATTTTCTTCCAGAACATCCCTTATCACACTGTGTATGCCACTACGATTCTTAAATCCTCAAACCAACCTTTGCTGGCTCTAAATCACCAATATGAGCACTAGTTCCAGGCATTTTCCCTGTTCACCTGGGTGTTAGTCGACTGGTGTGGGTTGCATCCTGGGAAAACAAGATTAAGGACCCCAATGGAAAATAAGTTAGACAGTCTTCGATGACACTGCTTTTTTGGGTTATCCTGGGTGGCAAATCCTCGGGGGTTAATTGTTTTTTGGTATTCTCAATAAGCCAAAACCAAAAAAGGGTGCTACAGCAGCAGCAGCAGCTGACGGTGGAAACAGCAGCAACAACGATGCTACAAACAGCAACAGACGATGCTACAGCAGCAGCAGAACGATGCTACAGCAGCAGCAGACGATGCTACAGCAGCAGCAGACGATGCTAAAAGCAGCAGCAAAACGATGCTACAGCAGCAGCAGACGATGCTACAAAGCGCAGCAGACGATGCTACAGCAGCAACAGACGATGCTACAGCAGCAACAGACGATGCTACAGCAGCAACAGACGATGCTACAGCAGCAGCAGACGATGCACAGCACAGCAGACAAATGCTACAGCAGCAGCAGACGATGCTACAGCAGCAACAGACGATGCTACAGCAGCAGCAGACGGTACTAACAGCAGCAGCAGCTGACGGTGGTACAGCACAGCACGACAGGCAGCAGCAGCTGACGGGCAGCAGCAGCTGACAGTGCAGCAGCCAGCTGACAGTGCAGCAGCAGCTGACGGTGATACAGCAGCAGCTGTACCACCAATAGTAGCGATGGTTGATTGGGGTTTATTATACAACCTGGCCAGCCCCGGAGACACGCACTCCACTTTCATACTTATCAATGATCTTTTTCTTCATCTCCATAGTAATTTCTCACCCTTATTTGTAAGGGTTGGCACTAGAAGCCTTCTTGGGCCCATGGTCACTTTTTTTCCCCAGAAAAAATCACCAAAAACACTGTAATAATACGAAATGTTCCGATTGTATGCTTGGATGTTACCGCGGAGGCTGGCTGGTAACAATGCCACCCGGCGAACATGTGAGCGTGGCTAAAGGCCGCACATTGGACGCGTC